AAGAAAAAAGTACTCCAGCAGCAGCAGATTCTCACCAATCAGAGGAAATGTAGTAAAAACTAAAGTGTGATGAGTATCAGCCCAAAAAGCAGCACAGATGAGAGGCTGTCGCCCAGAGCAAACAGGAAGCTGATGTTGGGAAGTTTTGAGTGATCGTCGTGTCACCAGAGAACGTATAAACATGCAGCTGTGACACCAGGTCGTTAAACCACCTCCTCCTCCTTGTTTTAGCTCGGTGTGGATTACGGCAGCGGCTCTTCAGACACAACAAACACGATCTCATCCTGTTCAGGATCGAATTAAAAAACAGGGGAAACGGCAAAGACGATCAGGAACAAGCTCCTCAGAGACCTGAAGTAAAGAGCAGAGGGGGGGCAAACCATGCTGGATACTACATTTCCCACAATGCAACTGAACAGCAGCAAACTAAAAATTTGAAGTGAAGCTTCTCTTTCAACCGGCACTGTTTACAGATGTCTGCTGCTTTAATTCTGCTCATATTCCTGCAGATTCTGCTCTCAGGCTCTAACGCTTACTTCCAGGTTACAGCCTGAAACTATGGAAACCACAGCTGGCTACGCATTGTGTGTGCTGCCCAACCTGTTGCCCAGAGGCTGCTGAAGGTTGCTGGCTGTTGCTAGGTGGTCGCTAAGAAGGCGACGCACCAAAAACCGCCTTGTTTTTGTTTTTACTTTAAAATTCGAACTGACTAACTGCTGGAATCTCTAGTGGACATTAGATGAACTGCAGGTTTGGTGCTTGATTTTTCCTTCTTTGTCCAGCGAAGTGCATCATGGGAAATGTAGTCTTTCCCACTGACTGAGAAACACAGCCTCAAACTCTGAACATTATCTATAGCTGACCTTTGACCTTTCCCTCCGCTCCTGCTCCTGTTTCTCCAGCTCAGCTATCCGCTGGCTCAGTTCCTCCCAGTGCATGATGGGAAGGTCCTGGTCCAGAGAAGATGCCTCCATGGGGTGATCCTGATGAAGCTCCTTCTCCTCCCCCTCCTCTTCCTCCTCCTTCTCCTCAGACGTCTCTTTCTCTCCCTCCATCCTCCTTGAATGAACCAAAGCAAGATCAACAAAAAGTAAACAATAACATGTGTAAACACAAAAAGCAACAAACAGCTTTGTTTTCATTGAAAAACTCTGAAGACCAAGGTGGAAACTTAAACCTACAGAATGTCTGAGACGATTTATCCACAACACTCATTAACATGTTGCAGTTTTTCTACTCCTGGATCTGTAAGAAGTCACACAGAGGAGAAATACCTTATATGGTTATCTCAGGAAGCAAAGCCCCACCCACTTCCATTCTGTTTATGAGTGGCAGCCAATAATATGGAAGTGGCCTAAAGAGGGAGGGGCTAAAATGCTGTGCCACAGTGCATATTTTTGTATCTATTTGATATTAAGCAAATATTGGGCCAGTATTGCCGATACCAATACTAATAATATGGCAACCTCTCAGTGTGTCATAACTTATTTGAT